TAATACATTCATTCATATTATAAAGAATAATGGTTTAACTGTCTCAGCTAAGAAAATTGTTCTTTGTCAAACTCGTATGGTTTCTAGGTCATTATATCATCTAGGAACACTTACACCAATTTAAAGAAGTCTAGAATTTACTAATAAATTACCCAATGAAATTCTAGATAAAAACAAGTTTGCAGCGTTTTTAGACCGTGTCAATTATATTGCCGACTTTATAAAAAATATTAGACTACTTTGTGCTCTACTTTTTCAAAGATTACAAAAACATCCATCACCATGGACCCCCGAGCATACTTTAGCCGTTCAAAAAACATCCATCAAGATGATTTTATCAATAAAGATGGCTAGCTATTTTATCATGCTTCAATTTCAAAATAGTATATATACAAGGAAAATCTAATGTTCTTGTAAACTTCCTTACAAGAGAGTTCATAGAGAAGACTTTCTTGAGAAGGTTGTGAGAACATCAATATTGTGAGCAAGAAAGAGATTATCAAAATGGATTCTTCTTCTAAGAAGAATAAGAGGAAAACTTCAATTTCTTTACTTTCAATTGAAGATTATATTCAAGATTCAAAAAGAGGAGAACAAAGTTCATCCTCTACTTCTCAAAAAAACTACTCAAGCTTTAAAAATTCTATCCTTTTCAACTTTCCAAAAACCTAGAAAGTTTCAAAGCAAAAGATATTTTCAGTATACTAGAAACTTCACCTTCAAATTTCAAAAAAGCAATTCAATCTGGTTCAAGATATTACCTGACATTAATCCTTCAAAATCTTTTTATTATTGTACTAAACCTATTCAAATGCCCCATCCTTGAAATGGAAACCTCATGGGTACATAGTTATTCATCTTTAAATGAATGCTTCAAGACATTTTTCCTTCTCAATTTTATTTCATGCCGCGAAATATAAAAAAGTCTATAGCTTTTTATGAAGTCATCCTTATCAAATCTGGATCGGCTATCATAACATATACTGTGAACCCTCAAAACTCCAAAAAAAAATTGATTTTTCAAAAATAAGTATTCAAAGGGTATTGTCTTATGAAGACTCTAGACAAAACCCATGGGATGAGAAGAGTGTGTTTATCCAAGGATGAAACATTCGAATCTCGTTTCAATTATTTTGATTACAAGGATGCTTGGTATCATTTTTTTTACTTTAGTCGAGTGACACACTCTTGGTTTATTCTTTTCAACCAAACATGCCCTTTTAAGTTTTCCAAAATAGTTTCAAACTTGATTCGAATATTTTGGAATTGACGAGATGATTTTACCCAGTCTTACTCGTCAAGGATTCGAACTCTTCAAAAAAGAGGCAAAAATATTTCTGAAGCCTCGAGAAAATGTTTTGTTCCAATTTGTCTACAATTTCAAAATTTCATGGATTTTCTTAGGGCTGTCCGTGGGTTGGTTCGGTTCGATTCTGAAGAGACCCGAACCGACTCAAAATTTTCGGGTATTTAATAAA